TTTTAAGTTATTAAAGACCAAGGCTTTTTCTCCGCAGGATTTTGACCGTTTTACTTCCGCTCTTTCGCCATTTTCTCACTCTATAGCGCCCTGCTATCCTTTTCACATCCACAAAAGGGATGTATTTGCAGTGCTGTTACCTTGAATAAAATTATTCACTTTTAGTTCCGGCTACGCCCAAGTGTTCGCCACGTTTTCTGTGTTATTCGTGTTGATATCCATCTCTGGACTCGTCCTAGGCTCACTTCCCGAGCTCCAGGTCTCCGTACAAAAGAATACCACTCAAGGTACGATCTTGTATATCCACTAGTCCAACAGTGTTCTCATACCCTTCAAAAGCAACGTCGATGATAGGTATCAAAAGCAGATTCCAGGATGGGGTATCTGATAAGCAGGGCATGTCCCACATTGGAAAATCTCCAGTGGGGAGGCGATTGTATTGGTTGCTAGACGGAGAGGGATCGTATTTGGTCTGAGAAATTTTTTTTTCGATAGATGAGAAATGAAAGTTTTGAATGCGTTGGGAACAAATTTTCGCGCTTGTTCACTTTCCTTGGCAGTTTTTCCTGTTCTCTGAGGTTCCCCCTCTGCTCGAAAGCAAAATTTTTTGTTGGGGAAAAAAATGGAAAAACTAAACTTCTTGGGAAAATTCGCAGAATGCGATAGGAGGTCGGGGGTTGGAAGGATGGGGGGGTGGAGGGAAAGTGTGGGTCGAGATCGTAGCAGAGGACGAAACCGCAAGGGGTCGCATTTTCCGAGAACCCCCCCCCCGCCCACCGGGAGGACATGCCCTGATGATAAGACCATCATGGCTCGCCGCGGTAACGGGCGTGGCCAGCGATGTCGCCTTCCGCGCGCGGCAGATGGGTAGTTCACGGGCGCGTATGCGATATCCTAACGCCTCACTTTTTTTTCTCTGTAGCATACCTGCGCGCGAGAGATGTTAGCTTTATTTCACCCTGGAGCATCTTGCGCAAATTACTGTGCCCGTTGCGCGCGAAGGCGTGGCATATAACCAAGTTACGATTGTCTTGACCGTCTTCATGTGTGTAGACTGGTTAAGAAACGAATTTCGAGTTCAAAGGCGCTATGAAGAAATCAAATAGGCCAGTGGACAGCGGCTTTTGATAGGACGGTCTTTTACTGCTGTTGATTCTCAGCACTGCACCCAAATACTCCACCTACCGCGAGGGGAGGCTCCGATCAAGTGTTGTGTGCTCACCTCGACCTACGCCCACTCATGTCAATCGAGACCCGGTCTTTTTCTGGCGATACTTCAGGTTGTTTTGAATTTATTGTGGGGCACTAATACTGACCCAGCCTTCCAAAGCAGTTTACACTTTGGCATGTAAAGAACAATTCATTTTGTTATCAGAGTAAGCTAAAAAGTTAGCCTTGGTTCCAGAACACGAAAGGTTCTGTCATCCTGATATAAGTGCCAGGGTCCATGCGAAGGCGACCCCGTCCCCCGGCATCACTCCTATTGCAATACATGATCGTTCTTGACCAGTTCAATTCTAGGAATTGTTAGCGATGTGGAACCGCATCCGATTCTCGGCTATATCGAGTATGTGTGCATAGTATGGTTCATTTTTGAATACGGTAAGCTATGTATGCTATCTAAACAGTCATTCCACGAATTCTAGGGTCAAGAAGTCCACTTTGCCAACATTGTCGCCGCAGACGCTGTGGGGTGTCAGGCTTCGGCGCGGCGCCAGTTCTTTTTCCACCAGTTGTTAGAGAGGCAAGCAACACCAACTATCATCGCTTGCCCGCTTCAACAACTGGTGGGGAACGAGCTACGCTGAGCCAAACCCAGCCCATTGACACGCTTCAGCAGCGAAAACGAGTGATGCGAGTTGCTGGTGTGACTTCGCTCACCGCCTTCGCACCTTCGCAACTCATGAATACAGTTCAGGAAGTCCACGTTGCCGCCCCGCCTTAACGTGGACCTCCTGAACTGTATTCATGAGTTCCTTACTCTTATTTTTTTGCTTTTCGAAGTTTTGCGAGAACGGCTCGATATGAAAGCTGTTTTCAGTCACGAAAATGCTGGTCACGTCGGATCGACGAAAAACATTTTTTCAACTGCTCAACATCATCGATTTGATGGCAATCGTGCCGTTTATCATCGAAATGCTGCTGTTTTTGTTCGGTGTGAGCACGGAACAGCTTAGAGATCTCAAGGTGATTAAGGGTGGCCCGAGCCCCAACTTCATTTTGAAAGTCTCGAAGAATAGTAATTTCAGGGCGCATTTTTGGTCATTCGAATTCTGCGGGTTTTGCGGGTTATTCGAGTTTTAAAACTCGGACGATACAGCAGTGGTCTACAAATGTTTGGAAAAACGCTCAAGGTACACTACATCCATTTCTTTTTTCAATTTTTGCGGAATTTCGCCATTTCGCGCTCACCATGTGGGCGGAGACAGGGCGAACAGTCAACCATTGTGCCTGCCTAATTAATACGCCCCATCTATCAGTAAACAAGGGAGCGCACCAATGAGCAGGACACGGTGGCTGTCTATCTCCGCCCACTTATTGTTGAGTTTCGGATGAGTTGACAGTTATGTGAGGTTGATTCTTCAAGGCGTCGTTCCGTCAACTGGGCATGATGGCCATGGTTGTGCTAACGGGTGTGATTTTCTTCTCAACATTGGTGTATTTTTTGGAAAAAGACGAACCTAGTTCACAGTTCTACTCGATACCTGCCGCTTGTTGGTGGTAAGTCTTTCCTGATGTTTTTCTTCCATTCAGGACCACAATAAAATGTGTTTCTATCGAAGATATTTGAGTCAACATATCTAGGACTGACTGGCTGTTTATTGATGAAAAATATTTGCCCAAGCGTTCCCTCGTCAGACTCTTCAGAAATCTGCTGCTGGTTACCAAGGCGCTCTACGGGGACTGTAATTTCCCTGGATGCAATATCTTTTCTTGAAGACAGAGGACTGATAAGCACAATGGGCAAGCACCGATGTTTTACCAATGTTGAAACCTCTTCCAGGAATGTTTCTCAGAATGCAAAAATACAAGCCGAACTAGGATCGGGTGATCCTGCGACCCGTTACTCATAAAAGGCACTACTTACTACTCCTCCCTGACACCAGGTTGGGCTTCTCTACACATCATATATATACCATTTTCACTTTGAATTCACCACTCTTCTTAGACCAGGCAGTTCACCAAATCACGCCAGACACCACCGCGAACCCTGCCCCGACGGTCACGCCTACTTGTCAGCGCGGACATAGATTTTCAACACATGACTGACTCCGCCCATTCTTTAAAGTTTGTTGCGAACTTCAAATCTTCATAACTTTTTCAATTTTTAATTTCACATCCACTCTTCGCACAACGAAGGTACTCGTAGACGCGCATTCATGCACCGGCAATTTAGGCTCCGCCCCTTTGGCCACGCCCACTTGCTGTTTGCGGAATTATGATATTTTTTTCAAAATTTTTGCATTTTTGGACTGCTCCATGAAGCCCCGCCCACTGTGAGAGGCTTTCAAAAATGGTGCAAGTCGGCAGTATAGAGCCATGGCTTGCATGGCAAGGGTATTGCTGGTCATTAGGAACAAACTTTGCCTGATTTATTTGTTCCGAGTGACGGACGAGACCCTAGCATGCAAGCCAAGGCTCTATACTGCCGATTTGCACCATTTTAAAAAGTGGGCGGGGCTTCTCCGAAGTGGCTCGGAGCCTCTCATAGTGGCGGGCTTCACGGGGCAGTCCAAAAATGCAAAAATTTGAAAAAATATCATAATTCCGCAAACAGCAAGTGGGCGTGGCCAAAGGGGCGGAGCCTAAATTGCCGGTGCATGAATGCGCGTCTACGAGTACCTTCGTTGTGCGAAGAGTGGATGTGAAATTAAAAATTGAAAAAGTTATGAAGATTTGAAGTTCGCAACAAACTTTAAAGAATGGGCGGAGTCAGTCATGTGTTGAAAATCTATGTCCGCGCTGACAAGTAGGCGTGACCGTCGGGGCAGGGTTCGCGGTGGTGTCTGGCGTGATTTGGTTGGTGAACTGCCTGGTCTAAGAAGAGTGGTGAATTTGGTTTGAAAAGTGGTGAATTTGGTTTGAAAAGTGGTGAATTCGAAGTGAAAATGGTGTATAAGCGCGCTTTCATGCGACAAAATCTAGACTGATGCTAGGGACAGAGCCTTCGTAACACCGTTCAGAGAGAACGTGGACAACTTTGAAAGCACATTTCACACCAGCGTTGGGGGAGACCTGATGATGTAGGTTCCAACACGAATTGGCCACTTAGTCCTGGGGTTTTTCCCTGGTTAGACTCTTGCCAGATTCTTTTTTCTCTGTAGTACAGTATATTGTTTCTTGTTTTATGTGTATCGTCACGATGACAACAGTCGGTGAGTTCAGTGTTGTGCTGGTTTTTGAGTACTTTTTTGCATGATTCTTGCGTCGGTAGACTATACGGCCACATAAAAAGTCAGCAATAATCAAATAATACTTTATTTTTATTGCAGGTTATGGAGATCTCACGCCAGTTACTGTTGGTGAGTAGCAGTCTTTCACTTTCTTCGCTTGTACTGGGTTACCTTTTTCTGATCAGCAGGAATTTTTCAGCCGGTAAATTGGTGGCGACGGGTGCTATAGCCTGTGGAGTGCTCGTGCTGGCTCTTCCCATCACTATTATTGTGAGTACTGTTGTTGTTGTTGAGGTGTATTTGGTGTTCGGTATGCAGCACTGGGGCGCAAATGTCCTTCTACGCGGTCAGATAACGGAAAGTCGTGGAGAGGCTGAGGCCCAAGCTTCACTTAAGAGAAGCTGCTCTAGCAGTTTGAATAGGTACCGGGCGTGCGTATTATGCAACATCGAGAACCATCTGAGACTCATTGGGGGGGGGGGTACTATTTCTCGAACTCCCTTCGTAGCACCAATGTTGTAAAAGATTCATAGGGTGCATCACGGAGTGTACTTCGAGCACTTCGCCATTCGAGTCAAGGTGCAGCACCTCGATGGTTGAAATGGCCAGAATTTAGATTAAAGGGAGAATTTTTTCTGAAATAACGATAAATTTCCTCCTACGCTCTCACATCATACCTCCGTCGAGAGGTGGGGGAGGGGGCAGACACATGCAGTCACCTGTCATAAATATTCGTTCTTCTGCGCCACAAACTGGGAGGTGTAGGGATTTTTCTTGAGGCCAAATGCGGCCATCCCTCTGTGACGTAATATGGTTCCCTATTGGGCTCCGCAGAAGGGTGCTCTGTCGTGACCGTAGCGCCTACGCCATCTCAGCCGTGCGCTTGTGCTTCTACGGTACTCCGGCTTTCTCGTTTTAGCTTTACGAACCATTCACGCCTTTCTCATTCAGCTTTCTCTTCATTTAGGCCCAAGTAGCCTTCACTTTGCGGAGGCGCGAAAAGAATAAATCCCTACAGAAACGTGTGAGAATGCATCACCTTTGTGCCGCTTGCATTTTGCGATTTGGCTTTACTTTTTGCACGAGCAACAGTCACACTCTCACGCCGTTCCATTCACAACTACATTGCGCACAGGAGTTCTGCTATGTGGGAATAATTGTAGGTCTTCTACTTAGACTACCTCATATCGATGTTTTGAACTTTCCAGGTGGACAACTTTATGAAGGTCGCTGAAGGCGAACGAGGACAGTTGCAAGGAGGAGGGGGGCGGCGATTTGGCCATCGGCCACAAGCAGATCCGTAAGTGAACTCACTTCAGTTCTTCTGCCAAAATATGTTTTTCGAAGTCACACTGTATGAAAAGCCTGGTCGTCTAAAAACTTCTCCTAGAGGACGCCATGCCTCTGACATTTACTCACAAATGGGCACTGTCAGCCATATCTTATGAGACTTGTTCCATTTCACAGCTTCACAGGAGTTTAGTTAAGGTCAAAGTTCACCAAGCTTAAGGGATACTGAAGATCTCGCCTCGATAGCATCCCCCCTCCCCATAATGCAAGTAGCGCCTACGATTGTGTAGACATTTGGTCGCATGTGTCATGACAAGAATACTGCCGGGCGAGTAGCTTCGAATGGAAGTTTCATTGTTGCGGTATCAGCTAGGCAGCGTTCAGACTTCGCGACGGCAGCGCTTCGGTCGCGCGTTCGACGCGATCGATGCGCATGCTTTCGACTGCATCGATCGCGTCGAACGCGCGACTGAAGCGCTGCCGTCGCGAAGTCTGAACGCTGCCTAACTATACTCCTACCAATACGATATCTTTTCGCCTTGTGAATGTTGCTTGAGGTTCAAGGGCTATAATAAAGACGCTCCCAACCTTCCCTTCTGCAGTTATTCTTCATTGACGAGCCGCTTGGGAATTCCTTCGCAATTTTCAACACCACTACCCAAACACCCTATCGTGGACCGTGCCCTTAATAAGGCTCATTCCATTTTTACTAGTTACCGAGCTTCCCCCGCTGGGCGAACGAACGTGTTTCGTAAGGCTGCGTTCATACTTTGCGGCAGCGTCCACACGCGACCACTAGTTCCGCGCGTCCGGCACTGTTAATTACTAAGAAAGTATAGATGTCGATCTAGCGTCTGCCAGCGTCCACCGGCGACCGGGAATAGAGAGTATGGGGAAGTAGGAGAGTAGCAAATAGCAGATTGAGCAAAGTCAAGTTGCGGCGTGGGCAACCGCATCGCACAACTGCCATAGCACAGAATTATGCAATTTAATGTAGTGTAGTTGTACGGTGTGGTCGCACACGCCGCAATTTCACGACGCCTAAACCGGCTGTTTGCTACCCTCCTATTTCCCCACACTCTCTACTCTGTCGCTCGTGTGCGCGGTAGACGCTAATGGAACACGAGGCTGGTAAAAAAGGATCCTTCTTTGCTTCATACTTGTGCCGAATTCCATCAGAAGCAGGTCGCGCAGTGATGAGTGGTGTCGCTCACCACGCCTACGAATTACAGATCAACTCCTGCCCTCTCCAAGGGCGCTCAGGGCTCCCATGCCTCCGGATCGAAGATCTGGTGCGGGTCTTTTTTGTCCGGAAAAATACATCCACATGGGCTTGTGAACATCAAATCATTAAACATTAAAAAGGACTAGAAAAGGTCTGAAGGGGATAAACTCCAGCATTCATCGATGCCAAGAGTTTTACTCCAAATAACTTACACTTGATCGCTTCAGGGTTCCATTGCCATCGATGAACAATCTAACCAGCAATTCAAGTATGAAGAAACCGAATACGGAAGATACGATCTGCTAACAGGACTGCATAGATTATGCTTTGTTTTGAATTCTGACACAAACACGATCTTGATTTTGCGTATTTTTATCATTTCAGACTTTCATTTTTATGTTTTCATGTTGAATTTTTTCTTTGTCGAATGATGGATTGTCCATCTGTTCCTTTTGAGCCTCAAATTGCCTCTATATCGTTGTGCTGGTTGTTGTTACTATACAGAATTGATCTCAAAAGCCAGTATTTGTTCAATATGTACAATTTATTTGTCTAACCCTGTGTGATAAGCATATCCATTCGGCAATAGT